TTATTTTATGTAAAATTGCGCCAATATTTCTTTTTTACCAAATTCACTTGTTTAATGGCGCCAGCACTGGTGTGTTTTAAATTTATTCAGAATTTCGTACGCGCATTTATTCGATCATTCAAATTGTTGAAGTTTATAATTACTTAAATTTTTCTATTTTAAAAAGATAACGCATGTGTGTTTAAGCCTGAACGTGGAAGTAGTTGTCAATAGCAAAATGTATTTTTAATTGCCACAACACATTTATTTATTATTACTTATGATTAATAATTATTGTTAAGCGTTAAGCGTTGAGTACGTCAACTTTTGGGTGGCAAACGCTTTGATGAACGATCGCGACGAGACTGTGCAATTGAAAACGCCGACTTTTTCGAACTTAATTTTATATTTGTGCGAGCTGAACGTGGACTCAGGAGGCAAAACACTCATATATATAACCAAACACAGTAACACACACACACACACATGCATTCATACATCTGTACATATAATATATGTATATTAGTGAAGCAAAGAAACATACTCGCTCACTAAAGTACTGAGGGTGGCTATTAACTAGCATCAAGACGCAGGCGAGCACAACAAGAGAGTTAACATCTAAATTAATTTACCTACACTCACACACTATATCACTATATTCATACATACAGACATATTTGACTATCTACACACATATGCACATCAATTCACATACGTTTTTTCGTAGATAAGCGTTTGTAGCACGCTATCAGCGTATTGTCACTGTGCAAGCGTGCATAGCAAGTGTGTCTGAGTAATGGAGATTTTAATCGCAAAACGTTTAAACGCTTGCACAGCCAGAGCCGCAGCAGCAGCCTTATTAAGAGCGGCTACCTTAGCGCCAATGGTGTCAAAAGCACAAACACACACACACAACGTAGGTGCATCAGAAATTAAAATTTTATATAAGAGTGTGTATATGTTTTCTTTATCACTTCACTTAGACCTTTGATAACATTTACTAGTGTCAAGTCATTATTTTGTATAACTGAAATTAATAATTATTCAATGCATAACTGCGTATTGTAGATAGTCATGGAAGTTCAGCTCAATAACAGTAAAAATAAATGGTTCTACGGGATCAATTTTTCTAATGGAAGTGAAAACTATGATATTCTTAAAACTAGACGGACGTCTTTTTTGGGCTTATCAGTCATTAGAATCGGCTACATAACAAGAAAAAATATTTAACCCATGAATGATTGTCATCAGCTAGAATACGCAGGAGTGCATAAAACATATTAACAAACCTCTCCTACGGACCGTTTCATCTGATCATTGTGCATGTTAGACTTTTTAGAGGTTATATAGGTTACATTAATATAGCAGTAGATAACCAGTAATATAGCATTTTTATAGATTTATTTATGGTGAGGTATTTTTCAGAATTTTTTGACATCCCCGATCCCTAGAGCGATTTTCAAAGATTTAACTGTGGGTAAAAATCAAGCTTTCAACCGATATGGTATACAGAACGTCATTGTGCAACAAAATATCACGTTTTGTGGGCTACGAGTTGGTGGTTTTTACCCAGCAACAAAAATTACAAAAATCCATATCCACCGACCACCATAACCATGTACAAATTTATAGCACAATGTTTCCTTAAATTTTAGGTTTTGTTGTAACGGACTCGCTTTGTAATATTTAAAAATGAAAAGTGTCATAAAATTCACATGCATATGTACATGCATACATATATCGGTAAGTAATGATTTACAAAAGTTTGCTTGATAATCACTCTGACAGTGCCCAGCTGACCTTATCGCTACGACCGTCCGTTATCACACAGAATTTCAGTTTACATTTTTAAACCGCTTTTTCAACTGTTCTTATCAACGCTCAGTTGCCCCTTTACATACTCTGAGTTTTATTTTTAAAGCGACATGCAGACATACATACATACATATATGCAAACCAACTAACAAACTCGTGCAAATAGTGCAGTAATACAAGTATATGGAAACTTTTCGTATTTGGCTGACATTTATAGCTTGCAGTGGCCCTTTACTGATAACAATGACCTTTATATTATATAATCGTTTGAATAACGACTGGAATATATTATCTACTTTGTATTACAACTTAGTTTTCACAATAAAATAAATACTCTTTGCAGAAATTGCTGTGTGTAACGTTTTAAAAACCACACAAATCGTATACCGCTTCCGTGGCAGCATCTGAGATCTCGTCATTTAGCGTCACCAAAAGAATATCACTGAATTCAATATATTTTTAGATATTTCAACAGATTTATAAACACATTAACGTACATAGATTTTTTCAGTATATAAAACAAGAAATTTTGGTTAATTAAGTACATACTGACATTTTAATATTTAGCTATCTATGTTATGTATACAGTGAAATTCATCATAACCGAACATCCGCCAACGCAGCGTTTTTGTCCGTCTAAGTGGAGTGGCAATGGCGTGTGTTTTAACTGTGTGCTTAAAGTCAGAAGCTGTAAGAAAGAACTACATACATATGTATGTATATTTCTAGTGAACTAAGAAATGCGAGCCAAAGTCAACCAGGAGTGAACCAATGACAATTATCTCATTATTTGCCATTGAGCCGCATATTGAGCCAATATAATGTCCGTGTCGTTGTGTTCACGAAATTTGTTGAGTTTTGGGAGCTGGCCGCTATGAAGACTATACGAATTGGGAATTTCACCATTTTCAAACAACTACGAACTTATGTTAACAGTTTAAAAAACATCGCAGATTATCACTGTATGTACATATGTATGTATACATAAATCTATTTAGTATGTGTATTTATATGCTATGTGTATACAGTCGAATATAATCATTTAATTTTGATTAATGGCGAATTATTTTGCGGCATATACAATTCATACTTTCATAACTATTTATAAACATATATATACATATGTATAGATGAATATATTATAATGCGATAATTCATAGTTATAAACTGCTGAAAATCTTAATAAAAAAGTACCCAAAATTTATTTACTCAAATGTGTTTTTTAAAACATTTATTTAAAAAGAAATTTGTCATTTTCAAAACAAAAATAAAAGCTTAACACGAATGCAAGTTATCATTCAAGGGTAAACGTATGCAAAAGAGGTGGCCCACAAATGAAGCTGCCTCCGACATTTTTAAATAATTTGAACATATGCAGATACATTCATGTCAGTTATACCCACAAACATTTATACATAAACTGTGGAAGACATGGACGCTGCACTATAATGTGGCTTTTGCCCAATGCGAAGGACTGTATAAGTTCTTTAGGTCAATTGAAGGTTATTTTGGCAACAGCAGAAGACAGCTGACAACATACATATGTATGTATATTCGAATACACATCAACAAATTTTTTAAACTCACATAGGAGTTTCAATTGCGCTTTTAAGCCGACCTAATGTTTTAAACTGTTGTTTCACACACAAACATAACATAAGTTATAACATTCTGTCTGTTAATTAATCTATTTGACTGCTCACCTTATTTTCATTTGGAACACTCAACATTTTATTAATATCACACTATAACTTTACTTAGAATTTATTTGTAGCAAGAATTGAACACTTTTTACGCGCTCTCTATAATACGAATAAACGAAACAGCTTTAACCTGCTCTACAATAATTTTGTGCAGATTATTTGTTAACACTAAACAACATTGTATAAACCAACAAGTAACTATTCCTAAAACTTTAACTAACATATACACAAGAAAATAGGCATTTGGTACGGGTTGCCTACTAATATTCTAGTACTAATTAGGTATGCGGAACGGGTTGTCCCGAAATACTCTACTACTAATTAGAATTTTACATTATACTTTTTTTTTTAGTTTTTTGTGTACCACCATTATTTCTTTGATAGGGATTTTTTATAAGTATTTAGTTTTGGGTGATTTAAAATACTTTGTAAATATAATTTTATACTTACTATATTATTATTATTGTTTTTCTTAAATAGTACATAATTTTCACATATTTACTTTTGTTATTGTTAAAATATTTCAAATTCAGTGTTTTTACTTATATCGGTAATGCAATTAATTTGCCTGAAATGTACCTGATTATTATGTGGGTTGTTCCCTGTGCAGAAAAAATCGGTAAAACGGCCACATTGCAATCTCAAAGGTGGTCAAGAAGAGTAGCAAATATGCAATAAACTTTTGTTTCGTAAATATTCTTAAAATTTTTCATTAATGTTTTCTATTACAAATACCTTTTCACAATAATTATTAATAATTAGTTATCATACTACATTGCTTTTATTTAGATCTCTGTGTTCAAAAAGACAATTTTGATTAGGAGATCTCAGCTGTGTAAAACTCTTGAACACCATATGATTATTTTGTTAGTTGTTGGGTTATACAATTCCAAACACTACCGTCAGGCCCTTTTTACATGTACATTTGTTTGACTTTTCTGTTCTTTGCGCTATTCTTCAATTGTGTTGTTGTTTTGTTTATCAGCGAAAAATTTAACAATATTAGCGCATGGCTAAAGGAACAAAGAGGAATGTCAAATTGATTGACGATGGAGTTATTAGCTCTGTTCGCGCACGGTTATTAATATAAAATGTATATAACAGTAAAATTTTGATGTACAATATATAATATGCACAATTTAATGAAAACGGTGCAGAAAAATAATGCGTTAGTATAATTTAAATATAAATATAATTTGAATATTAAAACAAGTCTTTTGTTATAATAATTATATATTTTTTGTTTTTTTAGATATGTTGATTCAGAAGGAGAGATGTATATGTATAATGTCCAACAGTTGGTTCGCAAGAATATTTTCTTGGAGACGGAGATAAATACTACTCAGTTCTTTAATAATTTTCTTTTTGATGATGTGACAATTGTTTGTATTGACAGAAATTGAACAAAAACTAAATCCAAAATTTAAGTTTATCATGCGAATAATTAAAAATGTATTTTTTCAATTGTGTATTAAGACATCATGTCATCGACTAAACATACCTTAACACAGTTGTTTTTTGTTTTCTGAATTCACACCCACCCACCCAAAAAACAGCTGATTTTGACGAATGATAACACAAAAGAGACTCTTTGTAGCAATATATAAATATTTTAAACCACAAAAAAACTTGTAATATTGTAATAAAAACTTTTTTGAAAATGGGTTCGTTGTGCTCGTCGTGTTTTGGAGGTAATGGTGAATCATCTAACCTGATGCCATCGCCGGTAAGCTAATTAAGTTATTAAGTCTAAAACGTTTTTCAGCAAACAAAATAAATTAAACGATTGTTAATTGCGTTCCAAAGGAAACTCGACGTCGTCAACAACTTGAAGCAGCAGAACGCCGACGTGAAGAAAATGAACATAGAGGCATTAAAAACCCTGATAGTGTTCGAAGACAACAGCAACGTGCAGAGGATTTAGCTAGAAGAGAAGAAGAGGCTGCGCGAACAGGTGGCGGCGCACCAGCGTTAAAGGTATTGTAGTTGACTTAATAAAAAAAATCACTAACATACTAGATTTTATTTTTACAGTGGCAAGCAAACTAAGTAAAAACGCTTAAGGGAGTTTCAGGAACTAACAGCTTTAAGCGCGTATAATTCTAAGTATTCAAACACGTAAACTTATGTGCGTATCAAAAGTGTTTAAAATTTAAGACATTTACACATTGTTATACAAAATATTATACTAAGGGTGAACTTACAATGCGATAGAACAGTTTTCAAAAAATTTGAATAATTGTTAAAACTCTTGTTAGTAAATTTTTTTGTTAATTTTTCCTATTCATTCTAGAGTAATATTGTTAATATATATGAATATAAACATATATGTACACATAATGTGCTGATAATCAAATTTGATATCTCTTTTCGGTTCATGTGTAAAACAATTCATTTTATTATTTCATACAAAAATATTATTCGTTTATTATATTATATGTACGTACAAATTAAAAAAAAAAAAACAAAGAAACAATACCAAAAACTAATGGAAATATTTATGTATTTTTGCCCTATGTATTTAATAAACATTTGCCCATATTGCATTTTGTAATTTTCTATCTTTGTAAGCAATTCGTTGTTAATAAATTTAGAGCTATACATGTACTACATATTTTATTTATTTCAAATGGGATTAAGAAGAACTCAACTGACTCACACCCAATGTATAAAGAAGCAATGAACACCTTAATATTAGTCTGTACTGTTTCAATTAACGAAGCATTTCATTTTATATATGTATATTACATATATTATTAGGGGCAAATATCTTGCTTAGCAGAATGTGTGTGTAAATAAAACAAATAAATTCTCTGTTTAAGCCGAGAATGGCAATTGTCAAACTATTATGTGTCATCATCACATTCTTTGTGACTCAAATTCTTAAACGTCGTCAGTGTTTTTAATTCTCGTTTTTACATTCAATTCCCATAATTTACGCCACCAATGGAATTATGATTAAACCAAATATAATATTTTATTTATTATTACTAATAAGTGTTGAAATCTACGGAAAGCGTTTTATTGTAAAACGCAAGACAACGAAAAGTGCTCCGGTAGAAGCGTGGACAGGTAAGTGGTTTCCTGGGCCACCACATCCTAAGGATGATTGGAAGGGAAAATGGTTTCCATATCCACCTTATACAAACGGGCAAATCCTTAATGTGCACGATAACAAACCACTTACAGCCACCGAAATTTGTGATGATGGCAAGGTAAACTATTAACACACATTACATTTGTTGTTATGATATTCTTATTATTTTTTTATAATATATATATACCTATGTTGTATTCGCAGCAATTTATTGGAATCGATTTTGACCCAAGTGATGTTAGACAATCTTTTGAACACCTATGTTTAGCGAATCGCACATTATATGCACCTAATATGAAGCGTGAAGCATTGCGAATGGAGTACTTTATCCCACCAGCCTACGTACCGCCAGTGAAGTGCCTTAATGAAACAATTACCTATGACTCGGCGTTGCCTACTTATGGCGCCTACCGTCCAATCATCCCGAAATATGGTTCATATATATTTATGCCTCCCCAAAGATACCTTACAGCCTTATCTCAAGGAGCCATTGTAATGCTTTACCATCCATGCGCTTACAGTGGTCAAGTGAAATTGTTGCAAAACACGCTACGCGCCTGTATGTATCGTCACATCATAACACCTTCCCAATCCCTAAGTCCGGAACGTCCATTTGCTCTTCTTGCATGGGGAAAAAGCTTGGAAATGTCTGTGGTAGATGATCATTTGGCTGTAGATTTTATGAAGCAGAACGCCAAGCAAGGGCCAAATTTTTCTACAAAGCCGCCAAATAATACAAAAATGTACGAAGCGGGCTTACTGCAGGAAGCTCATCTAATTACTGATGAAAATGATGTCGAGATCTGTGGATATAAAGAGGGAATGTAAAGCCTTGAATTAATAGTGGTGCAATATTCCATTTGTGGAATTCCTTAATTTAATCGAATATGTTTATTGAAATTTACACGCCTTATTGGGTTTCAAAAATTTATAAAAGTTTATAGTTGATTCGTACCTATCATATATGTATATATATATATGTATATTCGAAAACAAATATTGTTATTAAATGTTAAAAGTTAAAAAAATTAATAAAATTGTATAAAAAATTTGGGTTTCATATACTCTCATAAAGTTATAAGTTATAACGATTCGAAAACATAGCATTGAAAATTGTAATTGTGTAAACTCATTTTGTATGTAATCCAACAACAATTTTTTGAAACGTAAAAATTTAAAATTTTATGACCACTATGCTTTAAGACGGGTTGTGAGTACCCCTATTATAATTATTATAAATGGAACGAATAGGCAACTCTATACTAACTATACTGGGAATGTGCGGAATGAAAAGACAACAAAAAACAGATGTTCATACAGCTGGGTATATTCGTTGGCTTTTTTTTTCCATAAATCCGGTTATTAATTGTATTAAGTGCTCATCACTTGTTTTTCGTAGTTACAAATAGTATTTCTGTCTACTCACTTGCATGCAACAATAACGAAAAATTGCATTAAATGCATTTCGCCCTATATTTTATGGAGCGGAATAATTAACATTGAAATATTCTCACACATGTAGACCCAGTACCGGTTACTCATAGAAAGCAAAATAGCCACATCACTACTATACATATGTATTTCAGTATAATCTTTTGGACGATTTTCATTTACGAAGAGATTTGCTGAAAATCTTTTATACATTTCTCGTTTGCAAAATGTCTTTGACATTCTCGGATATTTGCAACGATCTCAAAACATTTTTAGAAAGTATTTGTAGAACTTGTAGCAGAATTGATAATGGCGAAGGGCAATTACAATTTAAACGTATATTTGCTGTTGTAGAAGAATCTCAGTCGCTTTTTATCAACGAAGCTTCCGAGCACCATGTAAGTGACGAAATTAAAGATGTGTATGACGAATTGTTGCTTTGGAAGCTGAATGTAAGTTACTTTGTATAAGAAAGAAACCGCAATTTAACTATTTTTTCTCACAGATTAAGCCAAACGATGGGTTACCGCAGCAGATTTGTCACGACTGTTTAGAACGTTTAAAGGGAGTAAAACATTTTCACAATTTATGCATTGACACGCAGACATTATTACAATCTTACATTAATCATGTGGATACGCTGCTTGAGTCTGGTAGCTTGGGACGTTTGTCTCCTCGTGGTGAATCCGTAAAAAGTGAATCACGTATTTCCCCAGGTCCAGGCTTGTTTAACCCAGAAGATTTAGTAGAGGAGTCACCGGAAACACCTGAACGCGCTGCTTTAACACTTAATTCTCCTCAATTAAGCCCAAAAAGCCAATTAAGTCCTCGTTATAATAAGGAAGTTGTATATGCGGAAAGTTCTATGGGTACACCCCCACCACTTTTTGATGAATTGAATACAGAACCAATAGACATGGAGACAATGGAATATTTAAAAGCTGAATCTGATCCAGAGATGAAATTGAATAGTACTCTGCAAAGTGCACCTTCAGAAGATATCTTGCATCCATTAAATTTTATAAGTAGCAGTGAAGATGAAGACTCCGAAGCGGGTACCGTTACCGACACGGAAACAGATGCAATGTCATATGACTCAAATTATGCACCCAGACAGTCTTTGCAATGCAAGATTTGCATGGCTATTTTTCCCAAACGTGGCTTGCTAAAAGAACATCGCTCGCGGATGCATCCACAAGAAAAACCATACATTTGTAATATTTGCTCTAAAGGATTTAAATCAAATTTTCTATTGTCCCAGCATAAACACAAACACAGTCGTTTGGACTCCATTAAGTGTGAACAATGTAGCAAAAGTTTTCGCAGTCAACTACATTTACAACGTCACAACAAAAACTTTCATCTTACTTCCACTTTTACATGCCACATTTGCAATGAAAAGTTCGAAAATTATACACAAATGAGATTTCAGTATCATGTGCGCCAACACGGTGAAAAACGTTTTCAGTGCCAATTTTGCGAGAAGTCATTCCATCAGAAAATTCATCAAATCAACCATGAGCGTACACACACAAAGGAGCAGCCCTTCTGTTGTGATGTCTGCGGAAAACGTAAGCTGTGTTAATAACATATGCAACAGCAATTATCTAAACGTGTGTATTTAAATTATAACTATAGGTTATCGCCAGCAAACAGCTTGCAGGGAGCACATGTTAACTCACACGGATCCTACTCCTTTTAAATGTTCAATATGTCAAAAAGGTTTGTAGTTTTGGAAGCACAAATTAAGCTATATTTAATGGGTACTTGATTTATTCGTACAGGCTTCACTCAACGCTCAAGTTTGCGTTTACATTTGCGCGGCCACAGCAACCATAATAAGAAACCGATTTTCAATTGCGATTTGTGTGGACAAAGCTTTACGAAAGAATCGCATTTTGAATGGCACAAATTGAATCATAAAACATATTCTACAGAATCAAAAAACTCATTTGGATTGGAAAATCAAACGCATATAAACGCACATGGAATACGTATGTAGTTCATATATATTTGTTATTACGGTAAAGACGCTAAAAATTATATTTTTAACAACTTATTTGCAGCCCATAAAATGTTCTACTGCAAATTTTGTGATAAATCGTTTCAAAAACAACAGTTACTCTTACTGCATGAGCGGCAATATCATGGAAATATGGTGGAAGAAGAGGGCGACTCAGAGAGCGGGCATCTCTACCATTCGCATTTTAGTATGTATATCTAAATAAAATACAAATGCAGAATTAATATAAAAAATCTCATTTTATAGATCTAGATCGTGTATTACCACACCGGACTGAAGGCAATTTTGACAAAGATATATTATCCTTATTCACCACATAAACCTAACGATAACCACTTATAATATCTGTATTATTCAACTTGATCTATAAATAAAATTGACTTTATCACTTACATATATGTATATTCAGTCATTTAACTATACACAATAATTTACAATGAAATTGAATACCTACGCGTATTATATATATATATCCAAAACCTCTACCACTGTCTCTTATACACATCTAGATGTGTATAAGAGACAGTATGTATATTCAGTCATTTAACTATACACAATAATTTACAATGAAATTGAATACCTACGCGTATTATATATATATATCCAAAACCTCTACCACTTACAGTATTTGACAAAAAATATTTGTATGCCGACTCCTTTAATCATACCCACTGCTTACCAGTGTTATTTACTTAGACTACTTTATAATCCCTACGATCTTCGAAGTAATAGAATAATTAAGCATTAAACTTAAGTTTTTATTTTATTTAATTTGCCAACGATGTCGTAGCATAGAAATATACACTGAGTTGTCAGCATAAGCATTTTATTAATTATAATTTAGAAAGATCTGGCATCACTAACTCCTTTTCTTCTTTCTTCCATCATTCGATGTTCGATACAGCAATTCTATTGAGGACTTCTGGAAGCAACATTTAATTTAGTTTTTGTTTTACAAGCGACTTGTTCGAATTGATTTGATTAACTTCACAATACAAACACCCGTAATTCGTGGTTGTGCCCATTGTGTTGTTTTTCCTTTTGGTGTTTTTTGCAAAGTTTCCTATAGTTTTTCTAAAATATTTCAAGCACTTAACTGTCGGCCAAACGCATTGAACCAACAAAGTATTACAAACCAGAAAATCTAAAGGAAAACCTTACCGTTGTGAGGGGAGTAAAGTGCATTCAATAAGAAAAGAGACAAAACCCATAAAAAAAACTATTTTCTAAAACAATTGCATCACGTGAGCATTACGTGAACGTCAAATAATAGCATACGAATATTTGCAATATAACAATTTCGGAAATTCAAACAGAAGAACCACACTCCAAGCCACTCCATCCAATTACCAACAACGCGAACAACGTAACTTTTCATATTTTTTATTTTGTGGTATTTATCCACAATAATACAAAAAAACCTAAAATAAATATCTAACACGTCTCAGCACGAAATGAACAACCTGCCCGACACTCCTGTGCCCGATCCAGGATCTAGTGGTGATAAACAAGAGGTGACAACAACTGTTCCCAATAAGTCTAGTGCACTTAAAAAGACCAGTCGTTATCGAAGTCGCTCCCTATCGGCTTCATCCACGGATTCGTTTAGCTCAGCCTCTTATACTGGCAGTAGTTCAGACGACGGTGACGATGTACCACCACGCGAAAAAGTTCAAAAGAATACCAAAGGTAATTCGGACTTTTGTGTGCGTAACATTGCCGGTCAGCATGCGTTTGGCCGGCGTGAAATCGAAATAGCCGAACAAGAGATGCCGGGTATAATGGCACTCCGGAAACGCGCTGCCGACGATAAACCGCTAAAAGATGCGAAAATCGTCGGTTGTACGCACATCAATGCGCAAACAGCGGTGCTCATTGAGACTCTAGTGGAGTTGGGAGCATCGGTGCGTTGGGCAGCATGCAATATATACTCGACCCAGGTGAGTATAGTATATGAATTAAAGCGTGTAGTAGCGAACAGCTGTTATCTTACTAAAGGGGTTGATTCGTGCAAATTGATTTATATTTTAAGACTGTCATACACTAATGATTATGTTTATATAAATGCTAATAAAAAAAAAAAAAAAAATTTGCAATGCAAAAAAAATCGCCACTAAATAAATCGCTTGACGCAGCTATAAAAAATTGATCTACTCGAAAATTGCGCTCTTAATAAAATAGCAACATTTAATTTACATACTATACCGTTTTATCTAAATCGATTTGAATAATTCCAGCGAATATAAAATGACTAACGACATATTTACTAGACTTCGGTTAGTACGATTACTATGTTTGCATTATTTATCACAAATTAGGCCAAGAAGATATTTATATATGTGTGTATACATATGCATTATAGATAAAGCACTTTTCGTACATATCCATGTTGAAACTCATGAAAAGACTAATAGTACTGACATGCAATATTAATTGACTTGGTTTTTTTTAATTTTCTATTTAAAATGTCGCAAGAAAATAAATTAATGTACTTAAATACGAGCATACATATACAGTTATACATGCAAAATTTAAATCACAATTAAGCTCATGTGACTTGCCCAAAATTGCTTACCAAATAAACATACCGCTCCTCTCCAGCACCTAAAAGAACCATATACATGTCATAATGCCCTTCCTACAATGACAACAGCCAACAATAGAAGATATTGCTGTTTACTTAAAAGATTGTAAACGATTTATAATTGAGTAAATTCTAACATACTCACGTCCGGTAAGAAAAACAATATCTCTGGCTTGTGCACAGCGACAGTTTCAATTTCATACAATTGGCCACATAAGCATTGGTGTGATATAATGAAATTGTATATGCAGCGAAAACTCCATCGATTTAAAAGCTCAGATGCATAGGCAAATGACGTCAGTTAAATTTCATTCAAAATTCGAAGGGGCTTGATGTACAAACAAATATATATTATGATTGCATATCTAACTGTGTATATGCATACATCTGCACATGCAAGTAACTATATGGCTATATGTAATAAAATATTGTTTGCCGCAGTTGACTGTACTTATGCGAAACAAGTTTACACCAAAGCTGGAATACCCTTCACACTTGAAAAGTTTCTATACAATTATGATTATAAAAAAAGAAGATTTCATAGTGGTTCGATATTGAGGGTTCAGATAAAAGAGCAGCATCTTTATAAGAAAAGAACTTGTGAAAAGTTTTAGATCGATGTCTCAAAAACTGAGTTAGTTTTCATACATAATGGCAGACTGACGTGCAAGTCAAAATCGTCTCACCTCATCGCGCTGATCATTTATATTTATTTTATATTAACCTAACCGGCGTTTTTTCTGGTTGTCGCAAACTTCGTGTCAAACTCAATATAAACTGTTCAGGGTATAAAAATTGTCATGCAGTTTCCGTATTCAATTTCAACCAAACGATAAGCGATCACATTTTGATTAACTCTCGTAATGGAATTTTATACATTCGATATATTCTAGTACCCTACCAAATGCATAAGTTAAAATGTTAATATTAAAAACATATCAGTGCTATATGTTCATAACCACTAAAAAATATTCATCTTTCAAAACAAAATATATATTTTTATGCAGAAATAATAACATGTAAAATATCTTCAAACTACTCTACATCTGCCACTGTAAAAGGTTCGAAAATCCATCCAATTGGTTATATGTATCTCCATAACTGAAAATAGATTGTCAGATATATCTGTTTGCTCCATTTTGACTGTCAAGTGCGCTAATGAAACTAAATAACAGATAACACCTTAGTTCACGCCTAATATGAATATTCATATGCATGTGTATACTTCTGTGCATAAATCTTCTGTATGAACGTGCAAATGGATATGTATATATACATATATTATATATATATATATACAAATGCAAATATTAGTCAGAATCGGCTTTTTGCGGCGAGCTGTATCCATCACTTGTGGGCCTAATGCCTGTCTCTTATACACATCTAGATGTGTATAAGAGACAGTGTGTATACTTCTGTGCATAAATCTTCTGTATGAACGTGCAAATGGATATGTATATATACATATATTATATATATATATATACAAATGCAAATATTAGTCAGAATCGGCTTTTTGCGGCGAGCTGTATCCATCACTTGTGGGCCTAATGCTCCGCAAACAGTAAATAAATAAAAATTAAATATTCAGCGATAAAGTTGTAGATAAGAGGTTAAGACAGTAATTGAGCGTTTTATGTTGAGCATTATTTATAAACCGTTTGACCATTTTTTTAGGATTTAAATTATGCATTAGTTATGCAGAAATACGGTTCTACACATTTGAAATAATTATTTTCACCCTCAAAAGTAGCTAAAATTTTGTCAAAAAAACGAAATCTCACGTTTAAGCAATAAACAATTACATTTGTAAAGAAAGAATGCTTAATGAACATTCCCCGGCTAGAGGGACACAGTAGCGCAACCGTTATCTTTTGGAAAATGGTTTATTTTGAGCAGTTTCGGTACTACGGCATTCCCAGATAGTACTTTTCCAATATTTCGACGGTTTTTCGCAGTTTTCGTGCTAAATTTAGCTCCTCAATTTTTGAGTTATCGATTTGATATTTTGTGCATATTTTTTCTACCCAACATGCTACACATATGTTTGAAAATTTCAATAAATACTATTTTTAACAACCATTTTATTTTATTTTTAAAGAAAAAGACTTCAGCCTTGGTTCTAAGCTATTACTTAATCTACAATTCTTGGAAAAAGTTGAAGTAAAAGTCCCCCTTCCCCGTCAGTGCCATCCCATCCAACACCATATCTTTAGGTGCGAAACCGACTGGTTTGACTTAAACCGCTAATAACAATAACAATAAATTAATTAACGGCAATATCTGATAAAAGTCTTTATACATGCTGGGTACAATAATGTTCTAAATTATCCAAGACGCCCTTTTAGCACCTCGACTTTCGTACAATAGAAATATACCGAAGTGTTAATTGACGTCATTAGCGTTCAATAACAGTTCATTCAACATTTTTGTTAGACCACTCTATGGTATTCAATTTTTAAAAGCAAGTGCTAATTGCCTACTCTTTTCATTCCTTCAAACTATATTTGCAGAATGAAGTAGCTGCCGCATTGGCCGAAGCCGACATACCCATCTTTGCATGGCGCGGCGAGACGGAGGAAGATTTCTGGTGGTGTATCGATCGCTGTGTGAACGCGGAGAGCTGGCAGCCGAATATGATATTGGATGATGGTGGCGATGCCACACATTTAATGCTGAAGAAATACCCCACCATGTTCAAGCTCGTGAAGGGTATTGTAGAGGAGAGCGTCACCGGTGTGCATCGTCTGTATCAGTTGTCGAAAGCCGGTAAACTAACCGTGCCTGCAATGAATGTCAACGATTCGGTA